CCGGGTGTGGCGCCCCCGGCGGGGGGGGGGGGGGGGGCTGCCACACCACGGGGCGGAAGAGGCACAGGGCCGCAGGAAAGGCAGCCGCGGGCAGGCGTGAGATAACACCGCCGGGCGGCTTTATCTCACATCCTCCCGTCCAGTGCTTTTCCTGCCGTGCTCCCCACTCCGGCCCCAGCACTCGTTGCTTTCGGCGTTAAGGTGTGACCCATCCTAATGCCTCCAGGGACGAGTCCCGCATGTCCCCAGCAGCCGGGGACAAGTGCCCCAGCTGCATGGCAGCGGCTCACCCACCCTCCTAGCACCCCAGCACCCACTTAGGGTGCACCCCAGCCTCACCACCGCGCAACATCCCCCTGCTTGGTGTGGAGCATGATGCTCGGGCAAGGAGAGTCAGTCCTGCCGCTGCAGCCCTCCCTCCCCACGTGGCCTGGCGAGCTCCAGGCTGGAACCCGAGCCCTGCATCGATCTGTGCTGCATCTTAAATCCCGCAGCAGCTGAAGCAAGCGGTTTTTAGTGTGAGGGCGGGGGGGGGTTTCTCCGCAGGCGAGCCGGCTCTGGCACCGGGGTGAGACGGGCTGTCTTCCTCTGCCAGTACCGTGGTGGCTGGCGCGGGGACCTTGCCCCCGTCAGCGTTTTAACGGTGATGCCCACAGCTCAGCTGCCAAGCCATATCTGTGAGGAAGGGTTGTGGGCTGTAGTGGGGTTGCTGGGGCTGCATTGCAGCTCGCCTGTGATGAAGGGGACACAAAGGGTGACGGATGAGCACGAGCAGGGTGCAGGGATGCCCCTTGCTGTGCTGCATCACCCCTGGGCAGAGGCAAGGGTCCCAGCAGAGTTTTCCACACATGGCCACATCCCTGCCCGGACGCCGGAGAGGAGGCTGCCGGGATAGTTGGGATGGAGGGATGGGGTAGGCGAGGGGCCTCCTCCTGGTCCTGCCCTCCCCCAGCTGCTGCCGGGGTGGGGACATGGGTTCCTGCTCCGCTAAGCCCTGCAGCTTTTCTCCTCTAAAGCCTGATTACTCCGGCGGTGCCTGTGCGTGAGTGCGTGCTTGGGAGGGGAGGAGGAGGAATTTCGCAACAAGTGTTTGCAGACACACTGGGCCCAGCTGCCCCAGAGCCGCCCCAGGGACGGCAGCATCACCCCCGCTCTGGGGAACGGTGCCAAGGAGGGGGCTCTTGCTGTTGCCGCTGAGCCCCTGCCTCTGCCAGACTGGCCAGGTGCCTGTGGTGGGCATGCAGGCAGGGCACGCCAGGGCGTTATAAGGAGGTCAGCACTGGGGCTTGGAAGTGGCTGCTGTGGGGTTTGAAGGTGGATGCTGCAGCTCCCTATGGGGTTTGGAGGTGGACACCATGGCTGCCTATGGGATTTGGAGGTGGATGCTGCAGGGGCTCAGAGGTAGACACTGCAGCTCCCCATGGGACTTGGGGGTTGACACTACAGCTTTTGGTGGGGTTTGGAGGTGGATGCTGTGGCTCCCTGTAGGGCTTGGAGGTGGATGTTGCAGCTCCCCATGTGGCTTCCTTCCCCTGCCCAGCTCTGGTGTGGAGTGCTGGCCCGGGAACAAGGGTCCAGGAGGAGTAGGAGGAAGAGGAGGAGGGTGAGGGGCGCAGCCTAGCCTGAGCTGGATGAGCAGCAGCATCTGGGGGGGCAGGGGAGCTGGGGCGTAGCCCTGCAACCTGCTGCCTCCGTGGCACCCGGCTGGGGAAACGTGGGTGGCTGCAGGGTGGGGACGAGCCATGAGCACCTCGCATGAGCTCCGGCTGCCAGCTCAGGGGCATCCTGCAGGCGCCTGCAATCCCATCCGGCGTGAGGGCCGCATGCTGCTGGAGCGGAGCAGGAAAGGAGCCCCATGACTTCCCTGGGGCTGCAGTCCCTCAGGGAGGAGAGTCGGGCACAGAGAGCCTTTAAGCATTGGAGTGCCATTGCTACCAGGCCAGGACTTCCCTGTGACCCCCCATTTCTGTCTGGATGACGACCCTTTTAAAGAGCAGCGGAACGGATCTCCACCGAGGTCCGTTCCCTGGAGTTTCTTTGTTCGCAGTGCTGAGACTTTCATGGCAGGGGGAGGAAGAGCCGCTTTGAAAAGCCCATTGGCTCTTGCCAGCGCTAACTCTCTTTTCTTTTCTACTTCCAGAGCCGCATGTTGTGTACCAGAGCTGCAGAGTATCTTTGCACTGAGATTGGACTGAAGTCCTCTGCGGCCAGCGCTGGAGGAGCCGTCCTGTTGATGAGCGTTCCTGTCTGAGCTTTCCCTGGTGGCTGGCGGGCTGGTGCTACCAGAAGGGCTTTGGGGGTCTTTTGCTTTGGCGTTGGGGGTGGGGTTTTGTTTTTGTTTTTTTGTTTTTTTGTTTTTTTTAATTTTGGGTTTGGTTTTGTTGTTGCACTCCGGGCACCATGTCAAATTCAGGCTCCCATCAGGACACTGGGAACAAGCCAGAGACAGAAAAAAATAACCAAGATGACTCTCAACCCCCTGTCAACTCTGAGAGGAGGAACAAAAGTGGAATAATAAGTGAACCTTTGAACAAAAGTCTTAAGAAGTCCCGTCCACTCTCCCACTATTCCACCTTTGGTAGCAGCAGCTCAGTAAGCGAACATTCAGAGAAAGGCAACCCCTTAGCTAATGGCAACGAAGCGACTGTGGATAAAAGTCATTCTACCTCAAAGCACAAAAACATCTCTAGTATGCTGAGCAAATTAGACCGGGTGTCGGAGATCTCCTCAGAAGGACAGACCGCCCTACAACAGTTTGCTCAGTCGACAGAAATGCTCAAAAGAGTGGTACAGGAGCATCTTCCTCTAGCAAGCGACCACGGGACTGGTATCTCTGACATGGAGGCAGTCTCAGCTGCAGAGACAATGAACGGCCCCTCTGATTTTCCTTACCTGGGGGCTTTTCCCATCAACCCAGGCCTTTTCATTATGACCCCTGCTGGCGTGTTTCTGGCAGAGAGCGCGCTCCATATGGCTGGCTTGGCAGAGTATCCCATGCAGAATGAGTTGGCATCTGCCATCAATTCGGGGAAAAAGAAACGGAAAAGATGCGGCATGTGCCCGCCCTGCCGAAGACGGATAAACTGCGAGCAGTGCAGCAGTTGTAGGAATCGCAAAACTGGCCACCAGATTTGCAAATTCCGAAAATGTGAAGAACTCAAAAAGAAGCCTTCTGCAGCACTGGAGGTAACCGGCCCCTCTCAGGCACCCTAACCCCTCCTTGGGCTGCGCTCCTGGGTTCGGACCTTGCCCTAGATAATAAAACACCTGGTACTTCTTACTTTTTTATTTTTCCCTTTTCCATTAACAGTTCTCACTGTGAGATGTGTGCTCTGCCCAGTGCCCCCAGTTCCTACCCTCCCTTATGTACTGGGGTTGATTGGCTTGGGGAGGAGGGCTGGGGGTCTCTCCCTGGGGTCCCTGGGTGAACTGGGTTTCGCTCTCCCCTTTGCAGGCACGGGCAGCAGCAGGTCTCTGGTTGAGTTTCAGTGCTGGCATCCCTTGTCCTGGGCGGCCTGCAGCTCCCTGAGCCAGGGAGCGGCTTCTAACCCAGTGATTGGATCAGAGGATGGGGAGGCAGCTTTTCGGGGCAGAGCTTGGGGGTAATCGGTGACAGTAAAACCCGTGGCTGTGGTGCAGCTGGAGCCCAGCCCCTAGCTCACTCTTTGCTCTGAGCAGAACGGTGGTCCCTGGTTTTGGGTGGTAAACTGCAGCGTGCGCTGGGTGGCATCTCCTGTGCTGTGGCCATGGTGGGTCTCCCTGAGCCAGCATCCATCTGGGGGGATATGAATAAGTCCATAAGGCACCAGCTGGATTTCCTGGTGGCAGCTGAGCTGCAGTCCCCGCAGGCGGTGTGCCTGCTTCAGCACCCGACTGAGCCGGGAGCACACCTGCTCCTGCTGCACCTGCTGAGCGCAGGGGTGCCTGGATCCTCCTGCTGTGAGGCTTTGAGGTGGTACTCGGGCTGTCAGTGCCCACCACGGTCCACCCACGTGTGTTGCCCTTGGCCCCAGAGGAGAGCCACTGCAAGCTGCTGTTGGGTTGGGGTGCCACCTTGCCAAATCTGCTGTGGAGGTGCGATATTTACGTGGGGAGTGCAGGAAAAGTCTGGTGACTCAGGTCATCACGTAGGTCTGAAATTCAACCAGGGCCACAGGCAGCTGCTGATGGCATGGCGTGGCGTGACATGGGTGAGGCCTGGATGCCAGCAGCACTGTCATGCAGTGCAGGGGTGGCATGTGGGCACGCCACTCTGGCAGAGCCTGCCTCTTGCTGCACACCCGTGGGTGCTCTGGGCCAAGACCTGTCTGCTGGGTCCCCCACATGTTGTGCTTAAACCGGGTTTGATTTTTGCGGGAGCTGATTCCACTGTCAGCTGTGTCGGCGTGCTTCTTCCTGCCAGTGAGTGCATCCCCAGAGCCAGCAAAGGCTAAAAAGTCACCCAAACATCAGCTGGATCACACATCCTGGCATGAGGGCATTGCCCATCCTCTGGTCGTCCCAAAGAGACAGCCCACCATTTTCTTAGCCATGTGCTACATTTTTCAATTAGCATCAGCTCTGAATGAATAGTGAAGGGGAAAAAAAAAAAATCTATTTGGGCGGTGGGGTTGAGGAGAGGGGGACTGTGTCTTTCAAAAACCGCTGTATTGCTAAATTATATTCTTGTTCTAATTTGCTGAGTCAGTGATCTGGAAAAAGGGAGAAAGGGAAAAAAAAAGTTCATCTCTTCCAAAGAGTCCTAAAGCGGGTCAATAGACTCAGAGCTCACAGCAGCCGGAGGAGTCATTCCCTTCTCCTGGCGCTGCGCTGGGTCCAGGGATGATAAATAGCACCAGGAGCCCATGAAACCGTCACCCCCTTGATTGGTTTCCCCATCCTGCAGCTAGCTGAGAAATTGGAGCCACTGAAATAGGGCTTTTCATGTGATAGAGTTGGGCCCCACCAAAGATGGATCCCCGTCCCTCCTGGGCACGACCATAGGTGTGTTGAGGCTGAAAAGAGATGTTGTACTGGTGGAGATGGACACCTGGGCAGATGTGGGTTGCTCCAGGGCATCACCGTCCCCTTTTCAGAGCAGATCCTTCTCTGTCTCAGGATATCCACTTGCACCGTGTGTCGACGTTGCTAGGGTTGAACAAGATTGTGGCCATATGTGCCTGGGATGGGGATGCTGGGACCCCAGCTGATGTCCCAAGGTCACCTGAGTCAATGACTGGGTTGTTAAACCTCGCCTTACGTCAACCAGCCTTGGTAATGCGTTGCGTTGGGCCAGCCCTAGGGCAATCACCAGCACCTGCCTTGTGGTGGAGACCTGTCTGGAGGTGGTGGTGGCCAGGACATAGAGGTGCTGCCAGCTTGGCAGCTCCATGGACCACTGGTCCTGGTGGGGTGCTATCGCACCATAGTGCTTGATACCGGGACAGGAGGGGCCATTCAGTGGCCCTTTATATGGGGGCTGAAAAACGCATAGGGCTTTGTGAAGCATTGTCCCCCTCTGCAGAGAGATTTGCCATTGCCCGGGAGAAGAGCAGCTGGCAGTGACTTTGGTCTGCCAGCCTGGTGCATCCAGAGGAGTGTCCTTGGAGAGCCTGGACAGGGGCTGCAGCTGTGATTAAACGTTGATCTAAAATCAAGCAGAAAAAAAAATAGAATTAAACCTTTATGGTGGCATTAAAAAATGGGTTAAATCCCTCTGCCACTGTTAAGCTTTATCTGCCCATCTACAGAGCCCGAATAACCGGTTGCTGCTGGTGTCTCAGTGTGGTGGTGGCCGGCTGAGGCTCTAAGACTGGAGAGGCAGGTTGGATGCTCAGAGCAGGCAGCAGCATGTCCCTGCACCGACCAGGATCCTCCAGGCTCTGCCAGCCCCAGCAACCCTGGGTAATGCTGTGGGGGCTAGTGGCCAGCCCTGGACAGGTCACCCTGGGCTTGTCTCCAGAGCTGTAGGTCACACGAAGGCCATGAATAGTTGGTATTTGACTCAGCAGAGCTGTCCTCCATCTGGAGAAGCCTCGGTGAAGTGCCTTGGTGCCCCAGCTAGCGCTGGAGAGAGGGTCACTGCCACCCTCATGTGAGTCTCACAGAAAGAGGCTTTTCACAATGCCTGTCGTGACAACACAAGGGGCGATGGTTTTAAACTGGAAGACGGCAGGGTTAGGTTGGACATAATGAAGAAATGAGTCATGATGAGGGTGGTGAGATGCTGAACAGATCACCCAGAGTTGTGGCTGCCCCATCATTGGAAGGGTTCAAGGTCAGGTTGGACAAGGCTTCAAAAAAAACTGATCTAGTGAAAGATGTCCCTGCGCACAGCAGGGAGGTTGGACTTCCAACCCAAAACAATTCTGTGATTCTGTGTTCCTGGGGATGAGGTGGGAAACTATCCTGGGCATCCACATTAGAGCTGGTTGTCCATCTTTCTTTAATAATGAAGGGGCAGAGTTGCTTAAGGTGACCTGTATCAGACATCTCCTTCCAGACCCATTAGGACCCCCCTCTCTCCTTGTTCCTCTCTCCTGGGATGATGTATCTGAGTAAGTGGCCCTTGCTGGTGAGTCTGCCACGCTCTGCCCTGCCAGTTCTGCATCCAGCGCCTTGGGCAGGATCCAGCATGGGCCCCATGCATCATTGGCCAGAGGCATTTGTGTCTTCCCCAGATGCCTGATCACATATTGCAGAGGCCTTTGGGGAATTGGTGATGCCTGCAGCTCTCTGGTTGTTGACTGCCCCAGCTCAGTTTGCCCCAAGGACCAGACATGGGCCGGGAGCAGGAGATGGTGCAATTTGTCAGCAGCCTAGCTGGGCACCACCATCTCTTGCTCATTCTTGCCCTTTGCCCCCCTCCCCTTGCCCAAGCCCCATGTTTGGCTCACGGTGCCTGTGGAAGTGAGCAAGTTGGGGTCTTTCCCTCAGGAGTGGGGGGAGACACTGCCCTGATTACTCATTGAGGCTTGGGGGTGTCCTGATCCAAGAGAAGGACCTGATGAGAGCTGGCTGGCTCCTGCATGGGGTTAGGGACCTGAATATGGCATGGTTTTGACTTTTGGGACAACACATGAGGTGCCCTAGCACTGCTTAATGCTGGGAGCTGGTGCTGGGGCTGGCTGTCCCCACCACCGTCCCATGGCAGCCCAGCCTGCTGCCCTGCACCCATCACCACAGCCTGTGGCTTGTCTCCTGTTGGTGTTCCTTACTTGTTTGGAGATGCAGGAACCAAAAGGCCCTCTGAGGCACGTCCTCTTGGTAATTGCACGGCCCTATCTGCTGGCTAGCTGGCCTTGCTTGGGGGCTCTTGGCACTGAGAGACATTGTGGTCCTTGCATACTCCACCCATGGTCTCATGAACGTCATGTGTTCCCACCCCATCCAGCTGGGAAACGTCCCAGGTTCTCCTTCCTGAGGACCGCAGAGCCTTTGGGGCCATTGCCCCACACCACCTTTCCTGGAGGTGGCTTCAAAGAGGTCTCGTCCCTTGTTAGGCGCTTTGTTGAATGTGGGGTTGAGCCTGGTGGGACTCATCCCTCTTCCCCTGCAAAATGCCGAAAGGTCCCCAGTGGTGCCCAGGGCTGCTCTGTTGGGGACAAGGTTGTTCATTGTGGCCGGGTGGCAGCGGGGTGATGTCCCCTGTGTCCTGAACAGCTCCCAGGTCTGGTAGCCCCAAGCCCAGCCAGCTCACTCCCTGCCTCAGTTTCCCCCAAAATGCCCTCCTAAACCCATCTGTTGGCTGGGCTCCTGTCCATTGGGTGTCCATCTGTCCATGGCAGGGGAGGTGGGGGCTGGCAGTGAGGGGGCCGCTGTGTCGGGCCATGCTGGCTCACCGTGGCCCGGCCATTGTGCTCACTATCGGCTGGAGGGGAAGTCAGGGGCCGCGCCATTGTGCTGGCTGTGGCGTGGGGATGCGGGAACAATGGCCAAGCTGCTGTGCCGGGTGCCCTGCTGGGGAGGCGGGGGCTGGTGGTGGGAGGACCCCTGTCTCCCTCTGGCTGCTGTCCCGGCATTTGCCGGTGGGCTGGAAACCTTGGGATGCGCAGCCGCGTCCGGGGGATGCTGAGCGTGGGCTGGATCCGTCCTGAGGCCTGGGATGCCGGGATGGGGATGGGGGTTTGGGGTGCGGGTGCACAACCCTGGTGCTGCGTGTCTGTGCCGGACCCGACCTAACACCTTGTCCCTTCTTCTTCTGTCCCCCCTCCCTGTCTCTCTTGCTTTCCAGAAGGTGATGCTTCCTACAGGAGCCGCGTTCAGATGGTTCCAGTAGGAACGGGAATCCCAAAGCTCTGTCATCCAAGTGCAATGTCACTGCTTGCTTGTGTTGTCTCAGGCAAGGGATTTTTGGCTGAAATGAATGGATGCACCTGTGTCTCTTTAGAACCAAAAATATTTTCTCGCAAATCTCATTCCTGTTTTTATAATTTTTTTTTTTTGCGTTCATTTTAACATCTTCGAGTCCTAGTCAGACATTTAACTGCTTTTCAAATAAAAATAATTAAAAGAAAAAAACAATGGATCTGTAAAGTACCAAGACTTAATAGACAGAGTATGGACAATCAGTTTCTTTCTGTGTTTTGGTGTTGATGTTGTTTATGTGTGAAAGATGCAGTACTTGTGTAGGACAGTAACCTTTTAAAATCTAGTTACTAATAAGCACTACTGTAATTTAGCACAGTTGTTTAATTGCACCCTCATTTATACTTTTATTTGATTCTTTCCCATCATACAATAGAGTGGATAGTTTCTAGAATGCCTCAACTTCATGTTTATAAATGAGAATATGTTTAAAGCGATGTAGTATCCCTTTTCCTAGCCATTCACCTATGTAAGTTTAACCCGCAAGAGGTTCGGTATAAAAGGTGTAAGAAAACAATTGCTACAAAACTGGCAGTCTTCAAAAAAGGAAAAAAGAATAAAAAAAACCCAGAAAAAAGTCACTGTTAGTTTATTAATATAGAACAAGAAACACTGCATACAGAAAAACCTCCTAATTGCAACGGTTTACTCCTAGAAGTAATTTTTGTAAACTTACTGAAGTTAAAATCAAAATAAAAATAATATTGCAGGACCTGTGCTGAAGCAGTTACGAAAAGTGATATTTCTCTTCTGTTCAAATCCCCGTCTCTCCAGCTCTCTCTACATCATTAAATTGAAATGCTGTTTGTAATGTTTTAGCGATCCAGGCTGTTTTTGTGAATAAAATGAATGCATGTTTTGTGTCATGATTTACAGCTTTGTTATTTCTCTCCCACCCCTCTTTCCAGCCTTCCAGGCCCCGCAGTGCTGATGGTGGCCAGTCCCCCTCTGCCTTTGCCTGCCCGGGCGCACCGTCCCTGCCACTGCTGCCGGCTGCCCCACGCAGCTCTGGCGGCTGGCCGGGGGGGCCCCCCGGGGGCGGGGC